TGCTGAAGATCGGAATTTTTATATTACTATTGATCACAACCTCATCATCAAGCAGGCCCGCCTCTCAGATACTGCAAACTATACTTGTGTTGCCAAAAACATTGTCGCCAAGAGGAAAAGCACGACTGCAACTGTCATAGTCTATGGTGAGTGAGCTTTTGGGATCTCAATCTAGTTGAAGTCAAACTGCAGTTTCTCATTTTAATCTTAAAATACCAGGTGAAGAGGCCCCTTTTCAATCCCCATGGCGGCTCTCTTCCAGCTTCTCATGTGGACATTGAGGTTTAACAGCCTTCCTGATACTCATAGAAAAACTAGACTTAGAAATCCCTAGTCCTTTGTCAGTCAGCTTATAGGAAAATGAAGGAAATCCACCTAAGTACCAGGATGACTCCCTGCTTCCCTAGGCCCTCCCACTCTCCATAGCCTGGACTACAAAGATCTAGAGGGAATTCCAAGATGAAGATGCTTCAGGCAGTCTGCTGCTCTCTCTGTGGGCCTCAGGAGAGTGATTGCAAAACCGCAGGTAAACTGGAGCTGACATGCTCTCCGAACACATCAGAGCAACTTTAACTCCCTAGAACTTGCTTTACACTCCACCAGGGGCATCCAGAGTGAAGACAAGGGCTGCCATTGCCAAGCAGCCCTAATCCTAACCCTGTAGTAGCAAGTTTCAACATGATGACTTCTTCAGAAAGCTTCTCTTCCACTCTCTGGCCCTTTCTAATCCATCTCATCTCTAAGCCTATCATTTCTCCAGAAGTACTAAATGATTCTGCCCCCAGTTTTGCTGCAGCACATGATGCTTTTATCTGCCTGTCTGCTTTAGCACTCAGTGGTTTTCTCATCATTTCACTAGTAATTCCATCTCCCCAGGTAAGCTTTTAAGCTCCTTGGTAGACTAAGAGAACAGCCCTATAAATTTATATATTTCTCACTGTGTTAGATACGTAGTAGGTCTTCATATTGTTGATGAGTTATTGTCTCAGAGGAAACTGAATGACCCTGAGAAATATTTTGAGGTACTGCCACCTCCGGAATGACATGGCTACCACTTAGAATGTAAGGAAGCTCTTCATGGCCGCTTCAGTGTTAAATGACACTCCAGGAGATTTGTCTAAATGACTATGAAGGAAGGACAGCCACGAGTATGTGGCTCATGGCCCTTGCTTACTGCAAGTAGTGCCATTTGGCTGGGTGTGTCCTCATGCTATAGAGTGTTATGAGAACAGAAACCACTGTGATGTGTTCGAAAGCCTGAATGTAGTGATGCTTTAAAACTGTCATTTTCATTACAGGACAGATGCATAATATATTTTCTAAATCCTCTGAATACTCTGAAGTTAAATTTCCTTAAGTCAAAATGAAACGTTTCCCACTTTGTCTTTTTCTAAACTCTCTGAACGACTTAATTAACAGCATTGGAAATGGAAAAGAGAAGTGGGGCACATCACAGCTTGTACCAGTCATAAATAACTAATGAAGGCAGACTCTAAATAGATGTATTACATAGATGTTTAATATACATGCAGATCTCTTTTCCTATGTATGGCATGCTTTCAGTATCCATAAGCACAAGCTGAACATTGTCTTTAGGAAGAATCAAACACAAGTAACTAAAGCATTTTGAGTTTAGAAAACAGCATGGGACTAGGGGTCAGGAGTCTTATGTTCTAGGCCTAGTTCTATCACCAGCTGACCTTCAGTTGGTCACTTAAACAGAATGCTCGGAGCCCGTATCTCCTTCTCTGTAAAATGAGGGAATAAGCCTAGGATCTTCAAGACCTGTCTTTTCTCTAAAAGTTTATGATATTGGCTTGCCAGTGTGTTGGTAAGCAATTTATACTGACAATTCCATGACATTTGGAGTTTTGTGAAGTTGAGTGGATTAAATTGCTTTTTGGAATGCTAAATGCATCTCTACCTGTCAAACATCTGCTTGTCCTTTTCATGGCCTTGTAAAATAAGTTGTCCAAGGCTCATAGGTTGGACTCACTAATAGTCCACAGAAAAACATACATATGTAACCAGTATTTCATTTTAGAGTCTGTTGTATATATTTAATTTTGTTAGCATCATTTTTAGATTGCAAATATATATTCATTATAGAAAATTTGGGAAACACAGAAAAACGTTCAAAGAAAAAAATACCTATAATCCTGTCATTTTGTCATCCAGAGGTAGCTTTAAAAAAGATTGATATGTATACTACTGGAATTTTCTTAGCATAAATAGGATTTTAAAAGAAGGATTCTAAATGTATTTTTTTACTTAAAACATAATGTTGCAATATCCATGTATTATTAAATAGACTTCTACAGCATCCTTTTTTAAATTAATTAATTAATTAATTTTTTTGCGGTACATGGGCCTCTCACTGCTGTGGCCTCTCCCGTTGCGGAGCACAGGCTCCGGACGTGCAGGCTCAGCGGCCATGGCTCACAGGCCCAGCCGCTCCGCGGCATGTGGGATCTTCCCGGACCGGGGCACGAACCCGTGTCCCCTTCATCGGCAGGCGGACTCTCAACCACTGTACCACCAGGGAAGCCCTAAATTTATTTTTTAATTGAAGTATAATTAAATTATAATGTTGTGTTAATTACTGCTGTACAGCAAAGTGACTCAGTTATACATACATATATATATATATACACACACATTCTTTTCCATTATGGTTTATCACAGGATATTGAATATAGTTCCCTGTTCTATACAGTAGGACCTTGTTGTTTATCCATTCTCTATATAATAGTTTGCATCTGCTAATCCCAAACTCCCAATCCCTCTTTCTCCCACCCCCCTCCCCCTTGTCAACCATAAGTCTCTTCTCTATATCCCTTATTCTGTTTCTGTTTCATAGATAGGTTCATTTGTGTCATATTTTAGATTCCACCTATAAGTAATATTGTATTTATCTTTCTCTTTCTGGTTCATTTCACTTAGTGTGATAATCTCTAGGTACATCGATGTTGTTGCACATGGCGTTATTTTGTCCTTTTTTATGGCTAAGTAGTATTCCATTGTGTATATGTACCACATCTTTTTTTTAAATAAGGCTGTGATGGCTAGCCCCTTTTTCCCCTTTATTTATTTATTTTTTGGCTGCATCGGGTCTTAACTGTGGCACACGGGATCTTTGTTGAGGCATGCGGGATCTTTTATTGCGGCGCGCAGGCTTCTCTCTAGTTGTGGCATGTGGGTTTTTCTCTCTCGAGTTGTGTGCGGGCTCCAGAGTATGTGCGCTCTGTAGTTTGCAGCACGTGGGCTCTCTCGTGAGGTGCACAAGCTCAGTAGTTGTAGCACACAGGCTTATCTGTCCCACGGCGTGTGAGGTCTTATTTCCCCCACAAGGGATCAAACCCGCGTCCCCTGCATTGGAAGGCGGATTCTTTACCACTGGACAACCAGGGAAGTCCCTGTACATCTTCTTTATCCATTCACCTGTCAGTTGATATTTAGGTTGTTTACATGCCTTGGCTATTGTGAATAGTGCTGCTATGAACATAGGGTGCATGTATACTGAGTCATTTTCAGTAGCTGCCTAGGAATCAATCTCACGAACATACATGTTTACCATGTTCCTATTATTGAGCATCACAGTTGATTTCAGTTTATATTAAAAATAACTCTCCAGTGAAAAATAGTCTATGTCTGTATGTATAACACATTCATGATTATTGTCTATTGCATAAGTTTCTAGAGAAGGAGATGATGGGCATATGATGTTCACATGTAGGGTTTGTGTTATCTGAGTAACACTCTTCTTTACCATCAGGAAGCAGATACATATACTAGTTGTGCCGTGCTTTAACCACCAGCAAATAATTTTTGTTAGAAATTGCTTAATTAAAATGATTTCACAGACTCATATATTGAAATACAAAAGTATGTCAGAGTATTTTCTAGAGCAAGATCTGCAGAGGTACTGAACATAGTGTTAGGGAGTAGGTTTTCTTTTGTTTGTTTGTTTTTTAATATATTTATTTATTTATTGGCTGTGTTGGGTCTTTGTCGCTGTGCGCGGGCTTCCTCTAGCTGTGGCGAGCAGGGGCTACTCTTCATTGCGGTGCACGGGCTTCTCATTGCTGTGGCTTCTCTTGTTGCAGAGCACCGGCCCTAGGCATGCAAGCTTCAGTAGTTGTGGCTCGCGGACTCCAGAGTGTAGGCTCAGTAGTTGCGGCGCACGGGCTTAGTTGCTCCACGGCATGTGGGATCTTCCTGGACTAGGGCTCAAACCCGTGTCCCCTGCATTGGCAGGTGGATTCTTAACCACTGCGCCACCAGGGAAGTCCCAGGGAGTAGGTTTTATCATCGCACCTACACTGACAGCTCCACCAAACACCGTAAATACCCTTTATACACAAAACAGGTGTCCATTTCAGTTATATCAACTAATCGCTAATTCATTCAAATAGATACTCAATTAGTTAAAAATCCAGCTATCGAGACTTCTTTAAAAACTAGATTCACTTATTAATGAAACTAACTAAAAGTCCTTTAAAGGTTATAAAGTTTACATATGCTAAAGAAAAATAATCAGTCATCTGTTATTAAGAAAAGGCTAAATGATTTTATCAGTTCCCATGCTTCATAGTCACTCACAACCTTGGTATAAGGATGTAAACATATATTATTTGAGATAAGTTGCCAGAAGTAATTTTTGGAGCTTTACTAGGTAAGAGGATTGTTTTTAAAACAACACTGGCTAAGGAGAGGAGAACTCAGTCCTGTTTTCTGGATAGGTAAATAGATGATAATTCACTTTGTCTCTGTGCTTAGAGTCTTCAGCTCTGCAATGCAATTTTATTTTTTTTAAACATCTTTATTGGAATATAATTGCTTTACAATGATGTGTTAGTTTCTGCTTTATAACAAAGTGAATCAGTTATACATATACATATGTTCCCATATCTCCTCCCTCTTGCGTCTCCCTCCCTCCCTCCCTCCCACCCTCCCTATCCCACCCCTCTAGGTGGTCACAAAGCACCGAGCTGATCTCCCTGTGCTATGCGGCTGCTTCCCACTAGCTATCTATTTTACGTTTGGTAGTGTATATATGTCCATGCCACTCTCTCACTTCGTCCCAGCTTACCCTTCCCCCCCCCATATCCTCAAGTCCATTCTCTATGTCTGCGTCTTTATTCCTGTCCTGCCCCTAGGTTCTTCAGAACCCTTTTTTTTTTTTTAGATTCCATATATATGTGTTAGCATATGGTATTTGTTTTTCTCTTGCTGACTTACTTCACTCTGTATGACAGACTCTAGGTCCATCCACCTCACTACAAATAACTCAATTTCATTTCTTTTTATGCCTGAGTAATACTCCATTGTGTATACGTGTGAAATGATATCCAGGGTCTCTTATAGCTTTGAAGTTTTTGATTTTTTTATGGTCACTTGGGATACAACTTTTATGTGTTGTGTGTGGTTTGTGTGTCTCTGTGTGTATGCACATATGTTTAATTCACATTTTATTTTTTCTCTCTTTCCAGTAAATGGTGGCTGGTCTACCTGGACAGAGTGGTCTGTGTGTAATAGCCGCTGTGGACGAGGGTATCAGAAGCGCACAAGGACCTGCACCAACCCAGCCCCACTCAATGGTGGTGCCTTCTGTGAAGGGCAGAGTGTACAGAAAATAGCCTGCACCACGTTATGCCCAGGTAAACAAACCAGCGCTCTCATTCCAAATGTCTCCTCCCATTCTAGAAATAAGTTTTAGGGTATATATACAAATCTTTATTCTTTTTTTTTTTTTGGCTGTGTTGGGTCTTCGTTGCTACTCACGGGCTTTTTCTAGTTACAGTGAGCGGGGGCTACTCTTCCTTGTGGTGCACAGGCTTCTCATTGCGGTGGCTTCTCTTGTTGCAGAGCACAGGCTCTAGGCATGCGGGCTTCACTAGTTGCAGCACATGGGCTCAGTAGTTGTGGCTCACGGGCTCTAGAGCCCAGGCTCAGTAGTTGTGGTGCACGGGCTTAGTTGCTCCGCAGCATGTGGGATCTTCCTGGACCAGGGCTCGAACCCGTGTCCCCTGCCCTGGCAGGCGGATTCTTAACCATTGCGCCACCAGGGAAGTCCCACAAAGCCTTCTTCTTCACAGGAGTGTGTGGTAAACATTATTTGAATCCGTCATCCCATTCAGTGCTTACATTGCTGGGACCTCAGGTCTTTTCCCCCAAAAGAGTACTTAACTTTTTTACCCTAACATACAAAATAGTATAAAACAAGAGATTAAACACACATAAACATAATCCCTCTCTATTACTCAACAAAACTGTTGGAACCAAGATTGCAGGATCTGTAATTCAAGGCATTTGAGCAGCATTGAAAGCCACACATTTAGGATAACAACCTTGATGTCCAGAAAGCCATGGAAATTAATTGGAACTGAAATTTAGAAAATGTTTTAGGTGAAGTACTTGATATTTGGTGTCAGTTTCTGGGCAAAGGCAAATAAAACATCTGGAATGAATTAAATGGAAGTCTAAGCTTTCTGACACATGAGCTAATGGATTTTGAAAATACAGTGCAGTCATCTATTATCTGTACATGTTGGTCACCTAATTTTGAGTTATTTGCAATGGTACCTATAGCAAGATTGCATCCCTTTGCCTCTGAACATCTTTCTGTGCTATCTCATGTTGTCCCAAGCTCTTATCCTTTGGTAAATTGAAGTTAATATTTGCCAAAACCAAAACCCACTAAAATGTCCAATTATAAAATATATTTAAAAAATTGAGCTCAAATTATTTTGAAATAACCCATAAATTTATTTATTCTATTGGGGTAGCTATTATATTGTCACTTTCATTATTTAGATACAAAGACTACTTACTTCCCTTTATTGTGCCTAACTTATGTCAGGTTCATCCTTTTAGTAGAACTTTCTCAGAGATGGGTTGGAGAAGTGAACTGGAGAGAAAACCATAGTATAAATTTTATATTCCTGTTTTCATTTCCGAATATCAAAACAGTATCCCACACTGAATCCTCTGAGAGCTTTTATTTATGGAACAAACTTTGACACTTAGCTAGGCTAAGAATTTCAGTATTTTCTCTTGTATGCTCCTATATTTTGTCTGCATACTGACTCCCACAATTAGAAATGCACTGAGCATTTAGTTGAAATAGAAATGTGTGTTTGTGTGTGTACTTTGGGATGGTCTAGGTCAAAGCAAATGTCTTTTCTTCATATAGCTGGGAGTTGCTTATATAGCTAACTGTACAATTGAAATATTAATACTTTCATCATTTTTTCATGTGGGCATATTTATATCTCTATACGTATTATGCATAATACATATAGTTACACAATAATTTGAATATGAAATCACACAGATTTCCCAAACTATGTAGATTAGTAAAATTGATCTAATTTCTGTCAATATGTAGGTATAACACGTGTACATTGCATGTTCAATAAATGATGTTTGCGATTGTCTTACATTGAGTCCTAGATGATTATTTATGTATTTCAGGGAAATTTTTAAAAATTTAACTCTTACTTTAATATTTTCCTCTTATTTATGTAAGAACCTTTAAAGAATGTACTAGAGTATTTAAGTTGTGCGTTTTTAACATAGAGATATCTTAGCTCTTTATCACTGAAGTTTACTAACAAGTCAAGCACAAAAATTAAGAAGAAAGTGAATCTATTCTAAATGACTGAATCACAGGAATTCAGGAATGTGAATTAATTCACATTAAGGAATGTGCTTAAATATTATTTTAAAAATAAAAATAGCAACATATACCATCAAATAATGGAATGAAATAATCAAATAATAAATGGAAAATAATATAGTCTTTTCAAGAAGTCATTGCAGAAGATGTTAGAATCAAGCAGCATGGATGAAAAAATAAAGAGTGTATAGGATGTAGATGAGGGGTGCAGGTAGGTGGGTAGATGGACGGATGGATGGATGGATGGATTTCTTCCACACTCTACCAGCCTCTTCTCCTGAACCCCACAGAGGTTTACTTGCACTACCCACATTACATTATGCAGGAGGGAATCTTGGATCCAAAAAGAGATTCCCTAATTTTCAATCCAAAATCCAGACATTTCCCCTTTAATAGAAAAACCACCAGGATTTACTTTTATGCAGCTCCTGGTGACAGCTTTGGTTTCTGTGTGTCCCATTAAGCTTCCGTTTGCTTGGTCAGCGAAGAAATAGTCACACACCTCGTAAGGGAAGTTCGAAGAGCCCCACACAATGTATGTAGAGCATGCACTACTACAGCAGTTAAAATGAATGCAGTGTTCCTCGAGGTGGGGGGGGGACATTTTCTTCAGTGTTTGGTGGTGTTTTGTTTCTGCTTGTGCTCTGCTCCTCTCTGCCCTCAAAAAGTTCCTTCTCCCTTTGACCCAATGCTGGTTTTTGTGTGGCAGTGGATGGCAGGTGGACCTCATGGAGCAAGTGGTCAACTTGTGGGACCGAGTGCACGCACTGGCGCAGGAGGGAGTGCACGGCACCAGCCCCCAAGAACGGAGGCAAGGACTGCGACGGCCTCGTCCTGCAATCCAAGAACTGCACGGATGGTCTGTGCATGCAGAGTAAGTCTATTTGAGCAAACGACAGACACTGGGGAGGTCTGGGGTTTAACCATTTGGATTTCTTTAAAGGAAATATCAAAAAATAAAAATGTCTTAAACAAAAATGCAGTACTATACCAATATCATGGGTCTCTGTCAAAATTGAAAAAAATGAATCTCCCAGAACCCAGAATGAAAAATAACTGTATCCAGTTAACAAATGACACACACAGTATTGCTTTTCCATGAGCAAAAAGGGATTTAGTTGTTTCCATGGAGGGGCTGTCATTCTTTTCAGGGCAGGGAAGTGCTACTCAGTTTTATTATAGTGCACAAAAGGGCACCCTAAACTCCTCATAGAGTCACATGACTTCCAAAAAGTAAGCTATTTATTTCTAATTCATGGCTGTTACTGAACCAGTGTCCATGAAATTTAAAATATATGTATAAGGACAGGAAATATTTCTGCAAGTAGATTTACCAGTTTACAAGTGTTTAGTGCGAACATCTTCACAACACCTTGAAGATGCTGGGTTTGTATTAGAAATTATAACATTCATCTAAAGGGACTAATGTTTATAAAACATAAATTTTTAAAAATGGGTGTAGACGATTGGCTCAAGAATATAATAGGTACTATAAGCTAAATATTCCACATTTTTCATGGCCTTTTTCCTTAGATTTTCTTAATGAGATGGTGGTTTGATTTGCATATTTGCAGACTCTCACTCCTCTGTTGAGGAGCCCTTAGATGTACAAAATTTACCATCCCTTTTATGACCATGAATTAAGGTACTAAGAATTGTTCTGAAATCACACCTATAATAGACGAATGGATCAAACAGTGTGCTGTCTTTGGATCTTCACTAATGGCAGCCAAATGTTGACATTTCTTATAACACATTACAGATTGCTTGTAGAATAAATTTGTATTTGTCATTTAAGAATAAGATATTTTCAGCACATTTATGAAATTCTGTTTACTTTCCAGAGTGTATACACACAGGGACCTTTAAAAAGAAACCTAACTTAAAATACAAAGAGGTAATTACATTGCTGACGCAGAATAAAAATCCAGTGGGCCTCTTATTTTTCTGTCCACGGTACATGGTATTCTTTGAGAACAGACTGCAGCTGGGTGTAAAGCATAGCTTCTGGTTGTGACTTGGGAACGACTGCTGTGCATCTGAGTTTGTACCAGAAACACAGAATGAAAAGGATACAGCTCTTTTACTAACCATTTATCCAGAGGTCCAGGGTTTGTTCCTCTTGGTGTTAGTCTGAGTTGACAATTAAAATGAAAACATGCCATACACAAGTTATTTTTTTAACAGTTTTATAATTTAGTATTCTTTTAGTGCTGAGCAAATTGATTCATGTGATTGAAAGTAGCAATATTTGAAGTTTCTCTCACTCCCTTTCTCAATATTATACTTTTCAACTTTGGGTAATTTAATGCCTACTGTTTCTATTGTGCATATTTTTAAATTCCTAAAGCAACATATTTAACAAGGAGTACAATGCTGCAAGATGGAACATTGGGCCTTTTATTACTTACACAAATGACACATTATAAATTATGACATTTGTCAAATACAGGCATGAAATATTCAAGTTAAGACTTTCATGACATAGCACCCCCTTAGCATCTAGCTGATTTCTCACAGCATTAATAGAATTTTTTCTAATGATTGGATGTTTACCAATAATGATGGCATGACGTGTGTGTGTAAGTAAGGAAAGGAAATGAGGCTACAAGAGGTGTTATTTTGTTTGTTTATTTATCAAGTCTCCTATTAGCCTGGAACATTTGGGTGTTTGAATTAATTAGTTAAAAAGCTGTTTCCTTTCATAATTCTGATTTGCTGTAGTAACAGTCTCTACTAGGTCAATAAACTCTTTCATCTGCCCTGCTGTATCTACTGTAGTGCAAAAGAGAACTGTAGTTTGTGCTATTATTGATTTCCTCAATGATTAAAACCTCAGATACTGTTGCACTGAATAATTATAGTATTTTACAGTGAAAGCTATAGTTTCTGTTTACCAGTAAGCTGGGTGTTTCTGGCATAGTATTGCTGACAAAGTTTTGCAAAGAAATGATAATGTTCTTGGTCCTTATTTTGGAAAACAAAAGGCTTTCTGATAGTATAAGTACCAAGCTTGTAAGAGGGACATGGTCTGCATTAAGAAAAAGAATGGGAGTAGAAAAGAGCTAGAAACTTGCAGTTGACAATTAGGAGTTATCATTTAATGTTTATATACTTTAGGAAAATTAGTGTCTTCAATGCACTGATAATATTGCAATATTGATAAAGAGCTATTTATCTCAAAGTAAAGCTAGCCTACTTACCATTGAAGTAGGGAGGCAGTACAACCTCTGAATCTACTCAAAATTGTCTACAAATGATTTGGATATAAATGTAGATATACTGCTAGGAAGGAGAAATTTGGAGTTCATATTGGATGTCAGTAGAATTCAGAGTTACCTAGATAACACAGTGTAGTATATTTTAAAAGTCAGATTGGTACTTAAGAGCAATACAATGTGAAATATATAGAAAATATTGCTTCAGTGTTTATTCACTAATTTGTTCAAAATAATATTCAGACATATTTCTTCCTTAGCCATTTCTCTCATTATAAATACCTTTGACTCAAAATATGTAGAAATATTGGATAAAATGTTTAAACTTAAAAGACATACACACATTTGGAGTGTGTGTGTGTGTGTGTGTGTGTGTGTGTGTGTGTGTGAGAGAGAGAGAGAGAGAGAGAGAGAGAGAGAGAGAGGGCATATCAAGTTCAAAAGAAAGAGAAATCCTCAAGTGGCAGAAATGAAGTAGGAACTCAAATCTAGAGAAGTATACCTCTGTGGGTGGACACCAGAATAACCAAGAGGAGCATTAGACATGGACGTAAATCCTAGGGATTAGGCTTTAGGATTTCAGTTCTGAGGCTGAGAGTTGAAAGCCAGAACCTTGAATAAAACTGGGTCTCATAAATGGCTGCTCTCACCATGAAAAATAACTAGAAATGTTTTACCCATCAGCCCAGTGAAGCTATAGGAAAATTCACGGTAGAGAAGAGAAAAATGAAGTCTTCACTTAAACCTGTGATAAAACCACACTCCGACACCCAGTTCTGGGTATGGAGTCTAAGATACACTACAGGGAACAAAAAGCAAAGTATGTGCAGTTTATAAAGTTAGTAAAACTGGGGTACCAGCGGAAGTGAACAGCAAGCCATTTTCTAGAGTTCTTTTCACAACCCAAGTGCATTGGTCTATGATAAAGATATCCCACTCCTGAAAATGAATTTACAAAATAAAGTTTTGTATCACCCAAGGGAATAGTCTGCTGTAAGAGAGAGTTGGCAACATAATAAATAGGTGAGTTAGTACTTTAATAACATGGACTCCTACAGCAATCTGAGTGAGGCTATAAAATAAATAAAAATTAAAAGACAAACTATTTTTAAAAGGAATATAAGCACAAATGAAAGAAAAGAATATTATAAAGAGGACAGACAGATTTGGGGAAAAATCAAATGGAATGTGATCCATTGAAAGTTAGAACTCAGTGGAATATTAAAAATCAGATCAGATCAGAGACAGCTTTAGATAAAGCTGAAGAGAAAATTGGTAAACTGGAATGTAGATCTCATGAAACTTTTCAGAATACAAGGAAAGACAGAATGAGTGATTATATAAAAGGTAGGTTAAAACACATGGAAGATAGAATGAAAAAGTCCCACATTTATTATTCAGGAGAGCAAAATTTAAAGTTTTTGAGATAATCAAGATAGAGCTTCCTACTTACAAACTCTTAATGAATAAACTACTACTAAAAATATGAAAATGGATTCTTTAAAAAATTGAGGGACCAGTTAAGGGGCAGTTAAAAATAAAATGGAACTAAACTATAGACAGCATTACACAGAATATGGGAAGGTGTAATCTAAGTTAAAATGTTCTAATTTTTGTGTGTTGTTCAGGAAAAGAACAGTAATACTACTTGTGTTAAGCTTTACTGATTCAAGTGTCCCAATTAAAATGTTAACACTGACTACACACATAAAGCTTGAATATATCAATTCAAAATAAGATTTTTAAGGGCAGAAAAGGAGCAAAAAGGAAAGAAAAAGTTAGTTAAATGAAAACAAATAAGATGGTATATATTAGGGATTATCATATATCAAGGATAATAATGTAAATGAATTAAATTTACCTGTTAAAGGAAATTCAAAATTACAGGAAAAATCCAGTTTTACATTGTTTATGAGAGACATACTTAAATCACAATTATAGAGAAATATTGAAAGTTAAGAAATGGAACTTACAGTGTAGTTCTGTCTTTATTTTAAAATGTCCAATTAATGGCTTTGACTATCTAATTGGGCCATTCTTAATTCCATTTCCCATTTTGCCTAAGTAACACATATTAGAGATTGGTTTTGCTCATAGTTTTAATTTAGATACTTTTTTTTCTTAGACTTTATAGTTTTCCAATGTTTAATTTTGCCTAAGTAACACATATTAGAGATTGGTTTTGCTCATAGTTTTAATTTAGATACTTTTTTTTCTTAGACTTTATAGTTTTCACAATGTTTAATTTTTTTTTTTTTTTTTTGCGGTATGCGGGCCTCTCACTGCTGTGGCCTGTCCTGCTGCGGAGCACAGGCTCTGGACGCGCAGGCTCAGCGGCCATGGCTCATGGGCCCAGCTGCTCCCGCGGCATGTGGGATCTTCCCGGACCGGGGCACGAACCCACGTCCCCTGCATCGGCAGGCGGACCCTCAACCACTGAGCCACCAAGGAAGCCCCTAGAATGTTTACTTTTTTGTTGGATAATTAAAATTTTTCTAAATTGTTTACCAAATTTTTTGTGTAAGACATCTTAAAAATACAGATATTTCCTCAATGCCAACTGAAGTTTTTAACCAAAAGACTTCGAGGTTATTTATTTACAAAATTATTCAATATTTTAAAGATATAATCATGCTAAATGTTAGCAAATGTGCAC